ATTCCAAGATTGTTTTTAGACATGGTACATAACATTGCCCATTTAACAATTCGCTATGACCTGTTTATCTGAACTAATTCATGTGACGTTTAAGGGTCTACGATGAAGTACAACACCAACCTTTTATCTCCTGGTAACCCCCATCTGTTTCTGCGTCAAGGATGTATCTGACAAGGCTGGGGGAAAAGAAATGTAGAAAGTGTTTGGAATCAAGGAATATTTATGAAAACAAATAAAAGTGTTGCAATTCACAAAATAGCTGTCAAAATGATATGAATGAACCACTGAGAAAATCAAGGAAGACACCAGCTGTTTACGGAAATACAGGTAGTTCATGCCCTTGAAACATTTGCCTGGAAGAGTAATAACTATCCAGCAGCTCATTGACTGTGCGCCATTGATTTAGATTGTGCTCGATATCACACAGCTATTGATTAGTGATATAGCCAGTCAAATTGTGTTGGTGATGAACTGTTTACCCAATAGCCTTGAAGGATTGCAGATACTGCCAACTGTTTACCCAATAGCTTTGAAGGAAGGCAGATACTGCCAACTGTTTACCAAATAGCCTTACCATCTGGATAGCAGATACTGCCAACTATTTACCCATTAGCCTAGAAGGATTGCACATACTGCCAACTGTTTACCTTATGGCCTTGAAGGATAGCACATAGTGCCAACTGTTTACCCAATAGCCTTGAAGGATAGCGGATACTGCCAACTGTTTACCCAATAGCCTTGAAGGATAGCAGATACTGCCAACTGTTTACCCAATAGCCTTGAAGGATAGCAGATACTGCCAACTGTTTACCCAATAGCCTTGAAGGATTGCAGATACTGCCAACTGTTTACCCAATAGCCTTGAAGGAGAGCAGATACTGCCAACTGTTTACCCAGTAGCCTTGAAGGATAGCAGATACTGCCAACTGTTTACCCATTTGCCTTACCATCTGGATAGCAGCTACTCACCGGTATCTGAAAGTTATAAGTGTGTAGATAAGTACATGCAAAATGTTAGATGAAAAATATATGCTTAACGAATTGCTCGTATAATTGCATACCTTTGAAGTGGAAATAAATTATTAGAAATTAGTAGAACGATATGAGATTGTTTTTAGAGCAAATGTCTTTCTTTTATAGATAGGTGATACTCGAACCTCTGGAAACCCAGGGCATGCTTTATTTAAGACTTTTTCCATTACAGTTAGGGTTAGGTGGATTGAAATATAATATGGTTCATTTAGAACAAATGCCTGTTCTCAGGCTGTTCAAATGGATCTTGATGGTTATATAAGAGAAGTGAAATGTTGGACTGAAACATACACAGGAAAGGAGACGTCAAGTAGATAGCACCCCAGTTTTCATTAATTTACATCTAACTTCTCATGTAAGCGGGGCGGTGGGGTAGTCTAGTGGTTAAAGCGTTGGCTCGTCACGCCGAAGACCCGGGTTCGATTCCCCACATGGGCACAATGTGTTAAGCCCATTTCTGGTGTCCCCCGCCGTGATATTGCTGGAATATTGCTAAAAGCGGCGTAAAACTAAACTCAGTCAGTCAGTCTCATGTAAGCTTATGACATAGATATTTAGTTTTCACTCTATTTATGGGTGTGAAAGGTTTTGCATATGATCTCAATAATAGTGTCTCTTAAGGGTATAAACTCTTCACGCCGAACACCTGAGTTCGATTCCCCACATGGGTACAATGCCTGAAGCCCATTTCGGGTGTCCCCCGTTGTGATATTGCTCATATTCCCTCACTATAAACTCTTCCTTAAAGGTGTCTCGGATTCAATTTCCCCGCATTTACTTCCTTAAAGGAGAATAGATATATAATAAAGACATCACATCTAAAAACATATTAGAATTGCTTAACGTTTGTATATGTGTATATATACTGACCAGCAATAAAAACGCAACTCAGAATTCATGAAAATTGTACTTTTTCAGCATGAGTTTGGATTTGATACTTTAAAACAAGTATGATGTGGTGATAAAGCATTCACCATGCAGGATGGTGTTCGAATCCATTTTTTGGGAGAAACAAGCAAGGATGAAATGTGTGACACACGCATTTCACAGCAACATGCCACGTGTAAGTGAAATGGAGAGACACCAAGCAATAGGCATGCGAATGCTGGAGTTCGACAAGTTCGTGTAGACCGACATTTTCAGGTGCACCCTTCGACAATAACTCGTCTGCAGCAACGGGTAGTGGCAACTGGCAGCGTTTCTGATCGCCCCCGTTCTGGTCCGCTCCCGTGTGACGTCACAAAGACAGGACCGGATAATCCAACTTCAGCACCTCCGGAACCGTCTGCAGGCGGCAGTAAGCACTGCTAATGCCGTGATTGGGTCTATGGGGCGCCCTATCAGCGAAAGTACTGTGCGTTGACGACTCCTAACGGCAGGCTTACGTTGCCGTCGACCTTACCGTGGACCCATTCTCACCAACAGACATCGACTGGAACGGTGCCGTTGGATGACAATAACCATGGTTAAGCCAATTCTGTTATACGGCTGCGAAATATGGGGTTTTGAAAACTGTAAGTCTATAGAATTCCTTCCCCTTAAGAGAAGCACGCCATTATAATGCTATATGGAGAACTTGGAAGGGTACCCCTAAATAACTCTATCAAATGTCGCATGGTATATTTCTGGGCTAGACTCCTATCTGGTAAAGAACAAAAGCTGTCAACAATTGTATACCAAATGTTATATAATGAAGCCTGCATAAACAATAGCAACCAAAAATAGATCAAATCCGTGGAAGCCGTTTTTAATGAAACAGGCTATAGCATCTGCTGGCTAAGTCAACCAGCTGTCTTTCTCAATGAAATTAAAACTATTATCTCCTTAGGCTTAGATGATATAGCAACCCAAACATGGCGCGCAGAGATTTCGAATTCTTCTAAGGGTACCATGTATCGCGTATTCAAATCTGAACTTGTCTTTGAAAAATATCTCCCATATATCCCTTCCTCCTTGGCTCTTAAATTTCTCTTGTTTAGAACTTCCTGCCATCGTTTACATATAGAAGTCAATTCCACTCGAAGAAAGAATGTGTAACCTCTGCTACACGTGTGATGTTGGCGATGAATTTCACTACTTTTTTCTCTGCCCTTTCTTCAAACATCATATGAAGACTTATATCCCAAACCATTATGTTGAAAAACCCAATGTTTTAAGATTTAACGAATTGTTAAACTGTAAACGTATTAGTGTTTTAAGAAAACTGTGTATATTTTGTAGTACTGTCATGAAAACTGTACAATCTTCCTTGTAAACCATCCCGCCATCCTATGTATTCTCAACTGTATATTTATTTGTACCTGTTATGTCGAGTACCCCAGCCTGAGCGTAGTAAAAGTTCTGTTCTGTTCTGTTCTGGACAACGAAGGTGGGATGATGTCATCTTTTCAGACGAATCGAGATTCAGTGTGAGTTTTGATTTCTTGAATTTCGTTTCTTTTGCTGGTCAGTATTGGTATATATCAGTTGTGGGGGTACAACGTATTCTGAAGTAACCATCCAACCCCGCCCTCCCCGCCTACCTCACCCAAAGCGTTGTCCCACACTGTCATATATAATTCAGTACATGTGTATATATATAGGAAGGGACGGTGGGGTAGACTAGTGGTTAAAGAGTCCGCTCGTCACGCCGAAGACCCGGGTTCGATGCCGCACTTGGGTACAATGTGTGAAGCCAATTTCTGGTGTCCCCGCCGTGATATTGCGGAAATATTGCTAAAAGCGGCGTAAAACCATACTCACTCACATAAAAGAACGTGTCTATCTTTCTTATGCACTATCATCGTGTGACTGTTCATTTGAAAGCATTGGCCTTGCTATTCTATGGAGCCAACTATTTCCGGGTGACGATACACTGAACACACACATCGATTGCGTGATGTAAACATGAGCATGTAGTTAATATATGAACCGCAACACGCTATTAAGTGAGATCAGTATTTGTAATTGCTGAACGAAAGTGCGAAAGGAGTGCTTCTGAGAGAGACAACTTTACGTGACTCTCGGGTTATCGTCATTCACTCTCACATCACACCGTATTACCTCCACGTCTCTGTTTTCTACAAACAACAACGATGACGACAACGGCGATGACCACGATCAGGACGGAACAGACAGCAGCCACGGGGACGATGGAAACGGCACTAGATTCAGTAACTCCACGTGCTGAAACATTTAATATGGACAATATTCAGTTCAGTATGCATACGAGTATAATCATGTAACATCAAGCCTCTTCGGGAGGTTTTAACCCGATTCAAAACATATTAAATGGGTTGACACTTGCGATGTTCATCTGAAATAACCTTTCCGTGCCACGCTTTGTAAGTGATTGATGAGGTACGCTGTACATCCCCAACAACAACGTCATTGTCAACATCAGCTCCACAGGAGGACATGCAATGTCGGTAACATCAGTGTTCTCATTTGTGCAGGGTGAAGAAACGGAAATATGTAACGAAAAGTGTCAAATTATATTCCTCATATAAATAGAGTTTCAGGAGCACTGTATTCTGTAGGGCTGGGTTTCTAATTGATTTTTTCGAATTAACGGAAACATTTGGGATTTTTGGAGAATCTGAAAGTTAAGAATCATTGGAGTGATAATGCCATCAGATCATAGTGAAAATTAAATTCTTCATCAATATTACGGTTTCAAATGGTTAATTATTTTTAATCTTTGAGTGCCATCTAAAGGGTCTTTGATTATTTTAAATCTCTGGGTGTTCTAGCAGGTGTTCCAGCAGGTGTTCCAGCAGGATCAGGTGTACGAAAAGGGGGCCGTCCCAACAGGCGTCATCCCCCAAAATAGGTTGTATATAACAGATTCTGTTACTGAAGTGTTGACTTACAGAAGACCTCCAGCGTCAGGTTCCGTGATGCACTCCCATGGCTGTTGTTGACGTGACACGTGTACAGTCCAGACACAGATACATCTACAGCTGGTATAGACAACACAGCCTCCCCTGTCCTGTAATCACCGTCTGTCTGGAGATGTCCCACCAGGTTACAGTACAGGCAGGGTTACAGTCAGCAGAACATCTCACAGCTGCAGGTTTCCCTTCTTCTACCTCCAGCTTGTCACTTGTGCCGTCAAACTGTATCTTGTCAGGTCCATCTGGAATGCATGTGAGATGGTCAGCTAAGAACGGATTTTTTTCTTACATATAAGTGCAGTTTGCTTGTGTGACATACATGATGAATGAAGACATGCTGCTTGGCTTGGCCTGTGTTCTTGGGATTCACAAAATGGTAAACGTCTCAGACCAATATCAATTTATGCTTTCCTCACATAATAAGTACAGACTACAACTGGAACACCGTTGTAACTCACTCACGCACTCTGTTGACATGTACAACTCTTATGACTACACAATACAATTTAGAAAGTGGCCATGTAACATGTTATATTTGGGATTACACTTTCTTAGTAAAGTACAAATTCTAGTACTTTTGGGTTGAGTCCAATCCGGGATTCGAACCCACATCCTCAGAGTCAGGTACCTAATAGCTTGCACACAAAGTCAGACGCCTAACCCCAGATATAACATGTACAACTCTTGACAACATATCCAGGTGAGCTTACAGTGCCGGGAAACTATCAGCATTTTCGATAGCCTCTGAAACTCATGGATCATTAAATCAGACCTGCCTATATTTCCTATCCAAACTTTCACAATCATCATTTCTGTTTTGTTTACACAGAACACAGTAGTTCACAGTAGTTCACAGTAGAACGTTGTGACAAAACTATCACTCAGAAGCACAGTTTCAAAGATAAGATACACGAGGTTCCTATACCGTAAACAAGGTAAGTTCTTACTCACAGAGAACATCCAGTACATGTCCGTGACTCCAGTTAGACTTCAGCCCCTCCTCCACAGCCTGGCAGCTGTAGATGTCTCCATGGTTCTCTCTGCTGATGTGGGTTATTGTCAGGTCATCTCCACCTGTAGGAGACACATCACCAGATTCTACCCGGGTCCTGTTCCTCCTCCAGATGTAGGTCAAGGTCAGTGGGGGATGGTCCAGGGGTAGACTCCGGGAGGAGGAGGAGCATGTCAGGGTGACATTCTCACCTGATACAGGTGAGGCAGGTCCGGTGATGTTAGGTCTGGTTGGCTTCTCTGTTAACAAATATAACAAATGTGCTCAGACCATAACACGAGTGCCATTGAACAAGATGTTACTAAATGCTTTCATACTTGTATTTATATACTGTTTATCATTATTATCTATCAAATGTTAAATAGTTAAAGCGTTCAGTCGTCACGTCGAAGACCCAGGTTCGATTCCCCACATGGGTACAATGAGTGAAGCCCATTTCTGATGTCACTTGTCATGATATTGCTGGAGTATTGCTAAAAGCACTCACTCTCACTCACTCAGTGTTCCACAGTCAGTGTTCCACAGTTACAGCAGGGAATCCATGTTGGCTGGATCCTAATACTCCTAACCGTTTAGTGGATTAAGTATGATAGTTACCACACAACTACTGGCTGCCTCTACTGAAACGAGTTAAATGTACTTACCGTGAGAGAGGAGGGTCGACGGTGTCACTACCAGGTGCGTCACAACAAATGGTGTTAAAAGATGAAAGACTGATCTACTCGGATACACACATCCATGTTAACCTGCGACATTGCTTCTTTGTCGGTGAATAAGCATAATTCACACACACACATACATCCATACAGCACACACATGCATACAACACACAGAAATACATACATACAGATGCATACAACACACACATGCATACAACACACACATACATACAACACATATGCATACAACATACAGACGCATACAACACACTCATGCATACAACACAGACCTGCATACAACATACACATACATACAACACACACATACACACACATGCATGTAACACACACATGCACACAACACACACGCATACATACAACGCACACACGCATACATACAACACACACATTCATAGAACACACACACATACATACAACACACATGCATACAACAGACACACACGCACGCACGAACACACACACACACACACATACTCGGATCCATGTCGCCATAAATACAAAAATCTATCCCCCATTTCACCTCACCTAAAGTTCTTCTACTGCAATAGAAGATTGAACAGCTATTTATTTATGTTGGAGATACATTAAGACAGTCCAACTTTATTCTTCAAATAATATTCTATTCATCTCATATTCTACTAACGTGCTACAACGAGGACCTGTCTACACCCAGTAACTCTCTGGTTATTGTTTCCTTGACAGTTATAAGTACCAGCGTCCTGTACAGAAACATTGTAGATGGTAAACCACAGCTGTCCTGTCTGTGATAGTGAGTCCTCCCCGGTGTATCTGATCCTGGTCGTGTAGCCGGTGTGACTGCTGTTGAGAACCGTTACACGTTGTGACTTAGGCTGGACCATTAACAGTCTCTCAGGTACCGAACCATTCACCCATACGGTATATAGGAACCTGACATTCGCTGGGTTCATGGTTATGTTAACATCGTCGCCAACACGTGTAACAGTGTGTGGGTATCCAGTTGTCATGGAGGCAAGACCTGCACTCAAAACATATATTCGTCATTAAAACAAGGTTAACAGTTGACAGAATTATTCAAGCACATTCTTGAAGTCAGCTCAATATAATCCTTGTTGACAGACACATGTCACACACATATAAGCCCCCAAACAAAGAGACAACATCATGTAAGGAGGAAAGAACTTTTATGAACATGCGTTAGAGTATTTTCTGTGGGATGAGTTGTCAAACTGACACAATTTTGCATTTTTAATGTAAACTTTTCAGAAAATGTAATTACATTCTTTTTAGAGGAGTCCATCAAGTGATATCGATGGACCCTAGCGATGGTATTCTTACTATCTATATATATATTTTTTGTCACATTGTTGTAATGTATCTATGTAATTGTTTATTACGATTGTTTACACTAAATAGTATGTATATATCCAATACACAGTACTTCATATACATGTATGCACTATACTTACATATCATACACACATTAACATAACATACTAACTACACTACGCTGAACATACTAACATATCATATACTAACATGTGGTCTACACTACGCTGAACATACTAACATATCATATACTAACATGTGGTCTACACTACGCTGAACATACTAACATATCAAATACTAACATGTGGTCTACACTACGCTGAACATACTAACATATCAAATACTAACATGTGGTCTACACTACGCTGAACATACTAACATATCATATACTAACATGTGGTCTACACTACGCTGAACATACTAACATATCATATACTAACATGTGGTCTACACTACGCTGAACATACTAACATATCATATACTAACATGTGATCTACACTACGCTGAACATACTAACATATCATATACTAACATGTGGTCTACACTACGCTGAACATACTAACATATCATATATACTAACATGTGGTCTACACTACGCTGAACATACTAACATATCAAATACTAACATGTGAACATCTACATATCAAATACTACGCTGAACATACTAACATATCATATACTAACATGTGGTCTACACTATACGCTGAACATACTAACATATCATATACTAACATGTGGTCTACACTACGCTGAACATACTAACATATCATATACTAACATGTGGTCTACACTACGCTGAACATACTAACATATCATATACTAACATGTGGTCTACACTACGCTGAACATACTACTATCATATCATATACGCTAACATGTGGTCTACAATAACGCTGAACATACTAACATATCATATACTAACATGTGGTCTGCACTACGCTGAACATACTAACATATCATATACTAACATGTGATCTAAACTACGCTGAACATACTAATATATCAAATACTAACATGTGGTCTACACTACGCTGAACACACTAACATATCATATACTCACATTCGTCTACACTACGCTGAACATACTAACATATCATATATTAGCATGTGGTCTACACTACGCTGAACATACTCACATATCATATACTAACATGTTCTCTCACCTGAGGTAAGTGTGTTTGTTCAGAATTGCCGAAACTGGTACAGCAGAAACTGGTTACCCGGTGAGATAAGTCATGTGACTATTAACCTTCTAGCGCCTTACAGACAGCTTGGGTTATCCAGGGTAATAATAGTCAGATTGTGATTCAGCGTCCAGCGAGCAACTAGTCAGATTGATACTAGGCGCTATATAAATGAATTATTAGTTTTAAAAAAAAAAAACATATTAAAAAACTGGCGTGATAAGTTCATATACTGACCTGCACGCAAAAAAGTACGAGTCATCACTACTTACGATTGCTGACAGAATGTCCCGTGTAACTTCAGAAAACAGTCACAAGGATGGCTATACAAAATGTCAACTGCCATTTTCGAAGGCAGATACATACCACACACATGAAATATTCCGGTCACAGTGTAAAACAGAAACATAGTCAGCAGCTGGTTAACACTGAAAGATCTGAGCTGTTTCACTTAGACAATATTCCCTGACACATGAACCATGTCCTTGCTTGTTGAAACATAAGTGAATACGCCGTGTCGTTGCAATTGGGCAGTTGAATATTGAATACTATGTTGTCATGGGTTTATTTGGCACTGCTGGGTCTGTATACTCTGTGAACCATGTCCTTTCTTGTTGAAACACTAGTGTCGTTATCATTGGGCAGTCGAATATTGAATTCTGCGTTGTCATGCGTGCTGGGTCTGTCTGCTCTGTGGTAGCCAAGTGGTTAAAGTGCCCGCTCGTCACGCCGAAGACCCGGGTTCCATTCCCTCCATGGGTACAATGTGTGAAAACCATTTCTGGTATCCCCCGACATGATATCGCGGACATATGGCGAAAAGTGACGTAAAAAGATATGCACTCACTCAATCAATCACTCTCATATGTACCCGTATTTACTCTTTTGCACTGCACATCAAGATGTAAACGTAACTATTGAGATCACACCAAGTTTTCTTTCTTTAACGTCGCCCTTTGCAATATTCCAGCTATTCCAGTCTGTAAATGATCAGACAATCCAGTGATCAACATCATCAGCATCGATCTTCGCAATTTGGATACGATGACATGTGTCAACTGATCCCGTTAGTCGCCTCTTACGACAAGCATGGGTTGTTGAAGATCAATTCTAACCCGGATCTCAAAAGAAACAAAACGAGAGTTTGTCAGACTCCATTTATCTTACAACGCGTACAGTAATCTGTTTCTTACAACAGCCTAAAATCTCACCGCTTTTGGATCAAATCGATGCATATTTCGTCCTTTCTCATTGTATCGGCGCATTGATACATAACCCAACGTTATGAATGAGTGACGTCACTGGACTTACTACTCACTACACATACTATGTGAACCTTCCACACAAAAAAAACGTTATAGTCATGTTTGTGCATTTTCGAGGCAACATTCATGATGTCTTTCAGTGGCATTTAGAAGTTGTACATTGAAGTCCAAGATATTTTTTATGGATTAAACTTCTTTTTTAATTTCTCTCACAACGTTTCGAGACCATTCCAGGTCCCTTCATCAGGTGAACTGGCAGTTAGGACTATGACGTCGTCACTATGACGTCATTACTGAGTTATGACGTCACAATGCAAGTGACATCACAGTACACTAGGGAGAGTACTGTATAAGTGAACCTTTACCGTCCTCAATGGCTACCCAGCCCGTCTTGTCTCCAGGACTATCACCAAAACGCTTGAAGTATCAGAACCGCGCCTCAAGCCTGAACCATCCCCGATCAGGATCACAATACCCTACGTGGGACCAGTCAGCCATCAAATAGCCCGACTAATCAAGAGCAAAGCGGGCTTTGATATAACTTTCTCTAGCGGTACAGCAATTAAGACACTCCTCCGGGCAAATGGTAGAGGATCTTGCAATGGAAGCCCCAACCATAGAGGATGTGTATACCAAATACCATGCAGCTGTGGCGATCAATATATTGGCGAGACTCTCAGGCCCATTAACACCCGGGTTGCTGAACACAAGTCATCAGTATGCAAACAAAATGATAAGTCAGCTATATCGGAGCACAAGGCAAATAACCCAAGTCATGTAATCATGTGGAATGATATTAGGGTGATTTCGAGAAATAACAATGACTGGCGTCGGAGAAAACTACAGGAAGCTGTCGAGATAAGGAGACATAAACCAGCAATTAATCGTGATCAAGGTGTATACCTGCCAAGTGCGTGGGACCTCTTGATTAACTTTTGATGAACTTTAGATGAACTTTAGATACAAGAAAAAACGAGTCTACTATTCTTTTTGGAAAGCCTGCTATCAAGTAACCTTTGTGTAATTAGCAGTTGTTGTGTATTGACAATTCAACTTTCAACTCTATTATTTAGCATGAATTTCATCATTATGTAACTAACTCACTTATACAGTACTCTCCCTAGTGTACTGTGATGTCACTTGCATTGTGACGTCATAACTCAGTAATGACGTCATAGTGACGACGTCATAGTCCTAACTGCCAGTTCACCTGATGAAGGGACCTGGAATGGTCTCGAAACGTTGTGAGAGAAATTAAAAAAGAAGTTTAATCCATAAAAAATATCTTGGACAACATTCATGATGTAAACAAGATAAGATCAAAGAACTTCTCAAAAACCATGACGTTGCAACTGTAAATCATTCTTTTGCAGGTGAATTATTTCACAGTGTGACGTCATTATTATCGTTCTGAACATGTGCTAGGTGACGTTAATTTCATTTGAATTCAGTCGTCATCGAAGGATAGTGTTGGATTTTTTCGCACATGGGGGATCTGCTAAGCAGCCAGGTATGAACCCCATGGAACAACTTTTAGAGGGTCATGGGCAGATGTTTTTCGTGCGAGGGGTGGCCACACCAGGTACTGATGTGGTCACCAGTGTCGGTTCACACAATCACAACAAACAATAACAAACAATTTGGTGGCAATATTCATATTAGTGGCGTTGTCATGGTCACCATATTTTCAGGCATTGTTTTCATTCAAGTTTCTAGTTATTTTCTCTCTCAGATTAGTAGACTGATTACCGCATTTTCACAATATTTAAGCCAGTCGTTAGATCAAATAATTGTTTAGTTTTACAATTCAAGAAATTCTTTAGTTCCTTCAACAGATCTCAAGTATTTAAATTAACTCACATCCTGAAGTTTTATGTCTTAGACTTTTCTCATCATCTACTCTCTTCTTATTACAGACATCTTCCCATTATGATTTCAATGGACCAAATTCTACGCCAATTCGGTAGGTTCAAGGCCTGAACGTTCGTGTACCATTGAACTCGATGTCGACGATGTTGTTGTCGAAGCACAGGGCCAAAATAAGGTCTTCTTGCACGTAAACCAGCTTCTCTCAACCTGTTCCTGACGGTCTGTGAAGAAAGCCTACTCAATCCGGGTATTTGTCGAGCGGTACTGATCGCCGTAGCTCTTCGATGACGCAGGTGATGTACCGGATGTAGCGATCCTGCGCCGCAGTGGTCGCTCGAGGTCGCCCAATATGAGGGGCATCTCCTACCGCATTCTGCCGGCGATATCTCTCCCAGAGCCGTGAAACGGTGCTTTGGTGAACATTCATGCGTCGGGCAACTGTACGTTGAGACTGGCCAGCTTCAAGCAAACCAATGGCGTTATGACGGTTGACTTCACTTAGACGTGGCATTTTGCGTTCGTCAACAATTATCCAAATACAGTGAATAATCGACAGACAGCGATCAACCTCTTATACCCATCATTGAGACTATCTGATCCCCAACTTTCACGTGCATTACGTGTGATTTCTGTATTCTGTGACACTACACGCCGAAATTGAAAACCATTGTGTTAAATACGGATATTTTACGGATGGTGCGTTTTGTTATGATGTTTCAAAACATAAACACCATAGGACTCATAAACAAAGCAAAACCTTTTCTAAAATGAATCACGTTTTAATTCATTGCTGCACGAAATTGGTATTTTCATGATGCGTTTCTTTTTTGGGAGAGTATATATGCTTTCAATAGCTGAGATAGATTCGCCTGTAACTTGGTCGTGAAAATATCAGCAAATCGAGTACCTAAGATGTATTTTGTATCGAGCTAGTAAGATCCATTTTATTATCTTTAATCTTTCCATACAAGATTTACCCGAAACTGGTCAAAGGTCAGAATAGTAAGGCGAAGCCAATTATTATAGCACACTGAAGTACACACTGGGGCACACAGAAAGATCCAGTTAAAGTCAGAATACGTGTATGCTCCAGGGGCTCAGTCTGCTACAACACAGCCCAACATCTTGCCAAACTACTAGCACTATTGGAAAAAGAAGGAAATTCAGCTATTCCAGTACCTTTGTAACAGGTCGCATGGTCAGCGTGTCATGCAGTCTTCTAAATGCCGTTCAAGGACTAAACTATCGGGCAAAAGAAAGTTACCACTTTTAATGCAATTGCATAAACACCCAAGCAGAAAACATTCGCCCAAATATAACATGCTCCCAATGAAAGCGATGGTGTCCGAAAAAGTAAATATGATATTATTGGCATAGGACTGAATGTCTAAGATTCATTGAACTGTGTATATAAATAGATAGTTTTTTTACAATATATGGATTGACAATTGACATGACCATGTTAGACTTTTCAATAGTGGGACTTGAATAGAATTTATACCTAAATTATTCTCATCGTGAAATGGCTGCACTATTGTCCATCTTATGTAAACTTTTAACTCACTCACTCAAACGCTTGTGGGGCGAACAACTGAATGAGAATGTAACCATTTTGGGGGTTTGAACACACAATCATATGTTCCTGGTAAGGTTTACGGAAGGATCAATGCAAGAAGAAGACACAAAATAATCATAATAATAAGTTTATTAAGATGTCGCAACACAACATCAGATAACATATGATACAAAGTAAAGCCACTCTTTCTCATCGATAACAAAATATCCGTTCTTCTATACCTAGACTCACCTACATAACTAACTGTACACTAAGATAAGAATTATTTGCTTTACGACTAGATTATAATATTTAGAAACCTTAGAATATTTATTAAAATATGCTATTACAAATGTCTGTTTAACAGTAATCAATATTAGCCACTATCACACCAGCTAGGTACACAGTCTTACATACATTGTAAGGATGTAAGGATTCTTCGTCTGGAGCTACAAAGACAATATCACTTGCATCAAGTGACAAAAAACATATCGTCAGCACAAAGCGACAAAGAAAATATCGTGTGCATAAAGTGACAAAGAAAACATCGTCGGCATAAAGAGACAAAGAAAATATCATCTGCATAACGCGACAAAGAAAATATCGTCTGCCTAAAGTGACAAAGAAAATATCGTCTGCATAAATAGACAAAAAAATATCGTTAGCATAAAGCTATAAAGAAAATATGTGTCATAAAGCTACAAAGAAAAGCCTGTAAAGAAAAAAACATCGTCTACATAAAAATATAAACACAATGTCGTCTGCATAAACTGTTGCCTCACTTGAGGCTGCACCCGGTACTGTGGTCCCGTGGTCGTCTGTTTGGAACGATGAAGGGTGGAGAGACGTATAGATGAGGAACTGTACCATCAGTTCATGCCCTACTGGTGTCGTGGTCCTCTGTAGAGGAGAATGAAGGGTGGAGAGTCGTGAAGGGTGGAGAGGACGTGAAGAGTGGAGAGACGTAGATGAGGAACTGGTCCTCGTCAGATTGGAGACTGTAGATCTGTACTGTCAGATTAGACTTCTCTGGGGGACGATGAAGGGTTGAGAGACGTGTAGATGAGGAACAGTATCGTCAGTATAGGCTTCACCTAGTACTGTGGTCATCGATGGAGGACGATGAAGAGTGGAGAGACGTAGATGAGGAACTGTACCGTCAGGTATGGCTTCACCTGGTACTGTGGTCGTCCGCTTAGGAAGTTGAAGGGTGGAGAGACGTGTAGATGTGGAACTGTTCCCTCAGGAGTCGCTCGTAATCATGTAGGGGTAAGACATCCCCGTCGTTGTTGGAAGCACAAGATACATCACTCAAGTCACGGGACAATCTCTCTGCCATCACAGTAAGATATTCACCACATCTGTAATTACAACATTACACTTACATTGCACATAAAGTTGTCTTGCACAGAAGTGTATGTATTTTGCTTTCATGCAGCGTGGAACAGAAATCATAAATGGATTGGAAATCCTAAAATAGACCTCAACAGTAATCATAGATTTGCAATCCTCTCTTAACAAATCGTACATTTGTTACATAGATCCAATTGCTACTTTCTCCGTCATTTCCACAGATAATCTATACGGGCTTCGTTTATTCAGTTAGGGTCTAGTTTTCTGGGGTAAGTTGAGTAAATGGTGTTTAACACAGGAGATTGCAACTGGACACATATATGAGGGTTTGTTAACTGGTTATTACCATACCTAACTCCAGCACTTAAGGTCAAACAATAAACTTATGTACCTTCTGTCCTGGTTTTCTGCAAATAAAGCAAAAGACAAACTTGTAAATTTCTAAACGGAAAGATTCGTCCACGTTTCCATTTACTGAATAACAGTTAGTGACTGAGTCGCTGTTAGCACAGTCCATCAACATCACCAAAACCAGAACACCATAAATAGGGCTTCACACATTGTACCCATGTGGGGAATCGAACCTAGGTCTTTGGCGTGAACGCCTTAACCACTTGGCTCCCGACAGCCCAAATTACTGAATCAAAACAGCGTATACAAAATAAAATGGAAAAAAAGATTTCAGCATATGAAGGTGAACTACAGACATGCCTGTTTGCTGTTTAACGCTGCATTCAGCAATATTCCAGCTATATTACGATTGTCTGAAATAATCAAGACTTGACAAGAAAACCCAGTGATTGATATCATGAGCATCGATTTACGCAATTGGGATACGGGGGTATACATGCATGGCCATAATCAGCCAGCGTTTCTCACCTGTTATGACGAGCTTGCAAATAGGTTGTAGAAGACCAGCTCTGACCTGGTTCTTCACTTTGGTGTAAGTTCGTGTTGGTTGTGGTGTGTTGGGGAGTGGAGGAGGGATTGAAACTTACATTGCATTCAAAAGATTCATGTATTCATCGTACCTTTTACGTCCTTGCAGACAAGAACAGTAACTGCTGCCACCACAACTGCCACAGCAGTGAGCATAATGGAGTAGACAGCTACGATGGGGACGATGTCGTCGACGTTGTCATCACCTTCTGATATAACACACAGTTAACACATATGTAATTAGTATGATAATTCATATGAGAACGCAGAGACGTATTTGAATGATAAGAAATGTTCTGTTAATATTCCTTGTTCGTTTTAATGCATATATTGGTTTTAGAACATAAGGAGGAAATAGAGGAAGTTCTGGGGTTTTTGTGTGTCTTTTTTTGAATGAAACATCGATCCTTTTTATAAGCTAACAGAGTCCTGTCTACATCGTATTTGAAACATAAAAGATTCGTCGTTAATATTCCTTATTCCTTTCAGTGCATAGATACTGGTTTTAGGACATTAGGAGGAAATACTATTTGTGTCTACTTTTTCAAAGAAACTACGATTCTTTATACGCTACTGGAACCCTGTCTACATCGCATAACGCAACAAAGGAAGCAAGCAATGAAGATGGAAGAATCATTCTTGATGTATGACGGGAAGTATGACCGTTACAGCTGTCCAGGCCAGTGGATCTGTTTCCCCAACATGGCATATCACCGAATCCTGGTTATGTACATGGAAATTAAGAAGTGTCATAAGTATTATATATATAATATAAACGAATTTGACTTAGGAAATGTTTATTTACAGTATATTAACTATTCTATGATGGGTATTTTAAATCATATAATCGGTATTTTTCCCTTTCCTTGAAATATTACACCGTAACCTTGACGATTTGACTTATATCCAATGTATATGGGTTTTAGACACGACTCCTATTCCAGGCTTCTGGGCTTCAGACGGGAGATAGTTCGAGCTACATTCAATCGACATATCAGTACCATACACTCACAGTTCGAGTTTCACAGCCGTTACACATCATGCTTGTAGTTAACCTTTAGACACCAACCTTCTATTTCCTGGTAGCTCCCGTCGTTTTCGTCTTCCCTGTGATACGAAACCAAGCTGATAAAAATGAGTATTAAACTTGAGTAAAATGAAAGGAAATTATAAAGCTGTGACACACTCTCAATTTACATCGCTCCGAATCGTGCATAGTTTTGCTCTGATAGCTATGTCGGTTTGTTTGTTGTTTGACGCCGCACTCAGCAATATTCCAGCTATATGGCGGCGGTCTGTAAATAATCGAGTCTGGACCAGACAATCCAGTGCTCAACAGCATAAGCATCGATCTACGCAATTGGGATACGATGATATGAGTCAACCAAGTCAGCGAGCCTGACCACCGTATCCCGTTTGTCAACTTTTACGACAACCATGGGTTGCTGAGGATCAATTCTATATCAGATCTTCAGCTATGTATCACTGTGTGAGATGAAATATTTATTCATCCTACTTGAAGATTGATGAAGATACTCACCGCTGATGAACGTATCCTCTCTCTGAAAGTGACAATGTTCAGCAGTTAATTATGCATACAAACTGCAAGGTTAATCACAGATGCCTGTATTATTGTGCACCGATCACATATCCGTACATGTTTGAATATAGTGCACTGATCTAGCACCGTAGACGCGATATATGGACAGCATCCGATACAAGTTTCAATAGAAGGTCAGTCAGTGAGTGAGTGAGTGAGTTGGGTTTTACGCGACTTTTAGCAATGTTACAGCAATATCACGGCAGGGGACACAAGAAATGGGCCTGACACATTGATCCCATGTCAGGATCGAACCCGGGCCTTCGGCTTTAACGCTTTAACCACTGGGCTACCCCAACGCCCAAGGTCACTCGGAGCTAATAGTTATGATAGGCCTTTAGTTTTTCTATGTTGACAGCTAAAATTCCAAGACTGTTTTTAGACATGGTACATAACATTGCCCATTTAATAATTCGCTATGACCTGTTTATCTGAACTAATTCATGTGACGTTTAAGGGTCTACGATGACGTACAACACCAACCTTCTATCTCCTGGTAGCCCCCGTCTGTTTCTGCGTCAAGGATGTATGTGACAACGCTGGGGGAAAGAAATGTAGAAAGTGGTTGGAATCAAGGAATATTTATAAAAACAATCCGCTTTCCTCAGAGTGTTGCAAATCACAAAATAGCTGTCAAAATGACATGAATGAACCACTGAGAAAATCAGTGAAGACACCAGGTGTTCACGAAAATACAGGTAGTTCACGCCCTTGAAACATTTGCCTGGAAGAGTAATAACTATCCATCAGCTCATTGACTGTGCGCCATTGATTTAGATTGTGCTCGATATCACACAGCTATTGATTAGTGATATAGCCAGTCAAATTGTGTTGGTGATGAACTGTTTACAACAAATAGCCTTGCCATGCAGATTGAAGGATAGCAGATACTGCCAACTGTTTACCCAATAGCCTTGAAGGATAGCAGATACTGCCAACTGTTTACCCAATAGCCTTAACATCCGGATAGCAGATACTGCCAACTGTTTACCCAATAGCCTTGAAGGATAGCAGAGATACTGCCAACTGTTTACCCAAGCCTACTGAACCTGAAGGATAGCAAGATACTGCCAACTGTTTACCCAATAGCCTTGAAGGATAGCAGATACTGCCAACTGTTTACCCAATAGCCTTGAAGGATAGCAGATACTGCCAACTGTTTACCCAATAGCCTTGAAGGATAGCAGATACTAAGCCAACTGTTTACCCAATTTTGAAAAAGAGCAGATACTACTAAGTTTAAATTTACCCATTTGCCTTACCCTCTGGATAGCAGATACTCACCGACTATGAATGTCTCCCCTTCCTGAAAGATATAATTGTGTAGATGCAAAATGTTAGATGAAAATTATATGATAAACGAATTGCTCGTATACTTGCATACCTTTGAAGTAGACATAAATAACTTGAAATTTGTAGAACGATATGTGACTGTCAGCTAAGTAACACTGGTGTCCTGAAGTCCTTGTTGGGATGGTAAAACTAGTGGTTAAAGTGTCTCCCGCTGTGCTGGGATATTGCTAAAAGCGGCGTAAACATCCTCACTCACTCATTGAAAGCTAAAGGCCATCAAATATGTAAATGTGTGCACACTATTGATTCATATCTCAAATGCCGTTCAAGCGTCTTGACGGTTATAAAAGAGAAATTATTCATATTTCTCAGGCTGTTCAAATGCATCTTTAGGGTTATAAAAGAAATGATTCATATTTCTCAGGCTGTTCAAATGCATCTTGACGGTTATATAAGAGAAGTGAAATGAGTCTATGTTGGACTGAAACACACACAGAAAAGGACATGTCAAGTAGATACCACCACAGATTTAAGTAATTTACATCTAACATCTCATGTAAGCTTATGACATAGATATTCAATTTTCACTCTATTCATGGGTGTGAAAGGTTTTGCATATGATCTCAATAATAGTGTCTCTTAAGGGTATAAACTCTTCACACCGAACACCCGGGTTCGATTCCCCACATGGGTACAATGTCTGAAGCCCATTTCGGGTGTCCCCCGTCGTGATATTGCTCATATTTACTCACTATAAACTCTTCCTTAAAGGCTGGTCTCAGATTCAATTTCCCAACATTTACTTCCTGAATGAATACTAATAGACACCATCAAGGACATCTGTACATTCAAACAAAATCCACCACACGGACGTGAAAAATATGATATAAGGAAGTACAAATAGGACAAAATGATCATTTGAAAATGTATAACATGTCAATATAAAGTGAAATGCTTGCCAGATAACGTTTTACTGAGTAACTGGGTGGAAATGGACATCAGATGCTACATACCGAAGTATTATTTAAAGTTATAGTAAAGACATTACATCTAAAAACATATTAGTATTGCTTAACGTTTGTATAGGTGTATATATACTGACCAGCAATACAAACGCAACTCAGAATTCATGAAAATTGTACTTTTTCAGCATGAGTTTGGATTTGATACTTTAACACAAGTATGATGTGGTGATGATAAGCATTCACCATGCAGGATGGTGTTCCAAATCATTAGGGAGAAACAAGCAAGGATGAAATGCATGACACACGTGCAGAGTGTGGACGTAGGGCTACAAATGCAGGCAGTGTCGTAATGCTGTCATTTCACCGCAACATGCCACGTGTAAGTGAAATTGAGAGACACCAAGCAATAGGCATGCTGAATGCTGGAGTTCAACAAGTTCGTGTAGACCGACATTTTCAGGTGCACCCTTCGACAATAACTCGTCTGCAGCAACGGGTAGTGGCAACTGATCGCCCCCGTTCCGGTACGACCCCGTGTGACGTCACAAAGACAGGACCGGATAATCCAACTTCAGCACCTCCGGAACCGTCTGCAGGCGGCAGTAAGCACTGCTAATGCCGTGATTGGGTCTATGGGGCGCCCTATCAGCGAAAGAACTGCGCGTTGACGACTCCTAGCGGCAGGCTTACATTGCCGTCGACCTTACCGTGGACCAATCCTCTCCAACAGACATCGACTGAAACGGCGCCGTTGGGTGACCAATCGAGGTCACCATGGTTAAGCCAATTCTGTTATACGGCTGCGAAATATGGGGTTTCGAAAACTGTAAATCTATAGAATCCGTTCATGTAAACTTTTTACGCAAATTCATTCCCCTTAAGAGAAGCACGCCATTATAATGCTATATGGAAAACTTGGAAGGGTACCCCTAAATAACTCTATCAAATGTCGCATGGTATTTTTCTCGGCTAGACTCCTATCTGGTAAAGAACAAAAGCTGTCAACAATTGTATACCAAATGTTATATAATGAAGCCTGCATAAACAATAGCAACCAAAAATAGATGAAATCCGTGGAAGCCGTTTTAAATGAAACAGGCTATAGCATCTGTTGGGTAAATCGACCAGTTGTCTTTCTCAATGAAATTAAAACTATTATCTCCTTAGGCTTAGGTGATATAGCAACCCAAACATGGCGCCCAGAGATTTCGAATTCTTCTAAGGGTACCATGTATCGCGAATTCAAATCTGAACTTGTCTTTGAAAAATATCTCACATTTATCCCTTCCTCCCTGGCTCTTAAATTTCGAGATTCAGTGTGAGTTTTGATTTCTTGAATTTCGTTTCTTTTGCTGGTCAGTATTGGTATATATCAGTTGTGGGAGTACAACGTATTCTGAAGTAACCATCCAACCCCGCCCTCCCCGCCTACCTAACCCAAAGCGTTGTCCCACACTGTCATATATAATTCAGCACATGAGTATATTTATAGGAAGGGATGGTGGGGTAGACTAGTGGTTAAAGAGTCCGCTCGTCACGCCGAAGTCCCGGGTTCGATGCCGCACTTGGGTACAATGTGTGAAGCCAATTTCTGGTGTCCCCCGCCGTGATATTGCGGAAATATTGCTAACAGCGGCGTAAAACCATACTCACTCACATAAAAGAACGTGTCTATCTTTCTTATGCAGTATCATCGTGTGACTGTTCATTTGAAAGCATTGGCCTTGCTATTCTATGGAGCCAACTATTTCCGGGTGACGATACACTGAAAACACACATCGATTACGGGATGTAAACAGGAGCATATAGTTAATATATGAACCGCACACGCTATTAAGTGAGATCAGTATTTGTAATTGCTGCACGAAAGTGCGAAAGGAGTGCTTCTGAGAGAGACAACTTTACGTGACCCTCGGGTTATCGTCATTCACTCTCACATCACACTGTATTACCTCCACGTCTCTGTTTTCTACAAACAACAACGATGACGACAACGGCGATCACCACGATCAGGACGGAACAGACAGCAGCCACGGGGACGATGGAAACGACACCAGATTCAGTAACTCCACGTGCTGAAACATTCAGTATTAACAATATTCAGTTCAGTATGCGTACGAGTATAATCATGTAACATCAAGCCTCTTCGGGAGGTTTTAACCCGATTCAAAACATATTAAATGGGTTGACACTTGCGATGTTCATCTGTGATAACCTTTCCGTGCCACGCTTTGTAAGTGATTGATGAGGTACGCTGTACATCCCCAACAACAACGTCATTGTCAACATCAGCTCCACAGAAGGACATGCAATGTCGGTAACGTCAGTGTTCTCATTGGTGCAAGGTGAAGAAACGGAAATTTGTAACGAAAAGTGTCAAATTTAATTTCTCATATAAATAGAGATTCAGAAGCACTGCATTCTGTAGGGCAGGTTTCTAATTGATTTATCGAATTAACGGAAACATTTGGGATTTTGGGAGAATCTGAAAGTAAAGAATCATTGGAGTGATAATGCCATCAGATCATAGTGAAAATGAAATTCTTCATCAATATTACGGTTTCAAATGGTTAGTTGTTTTTAATCTTTGAGTGACATCTAAAGGGTCTTTGGTTATTTTAAATCTCTGGGTGTTCTAGCAAGTGGTCGAGCAGGTGTTCCAGCAGGATCAGGTGTACGAAAAGGGGGCCGTCCCAACAGGCGTCATCCCCAAAAATAGGCTGTATATAACAGATTCTGTTACTGAAGTGTTGACTTACAGGAGACCTCCAGCGTCAGGTTCCGTGATGCACTCCCATGTGTGTTGTTGACGTGACACGTGTACAGTCCAGACACAGATACCTCTACAGCTGGTATAGACAACACAGCCTCCCCTTGTCCTGTAATCACCGTCTGTCTTGAGATGTCCCACCAGGTTACAGTACAGGCAGGGTTACAGTCAGCAGAACATCTCACAGCTGCAGGTTTCCCTTCTTCTACCTCCAGCTTGTCACTTGTGCCGTCAAACTGTATCTTGTCAGGTCCATCTTGAATGCATGTGAGATGGTAAGCTGAGAAGCTATTCTGAGATATAAGTGCAGTTTGCTGGAACACCGTTGTAACTCACTCACGCACTCTGTTGACATGTACAACTCTTATGACTACACAATACAATTTAGAAAGTGGCCATGTAACATGTTATATTTGGGATTACACTTTCTTAGTAAAGTACAAATTCTAGTACTTTTGGGTTGAGTCCAATCCGGGATTCGAACCCACATCCTCAGAGTCAGGTACCTAATAGCTTGCACACAAAGTCAGACGCCTAACCCCAGATATAACATGTACAACTCTTGACAACATATCCAGGTGAGCTTACAGTACCGGGAAACTATCAGCATTTTCGATAGCCTCTGAAACTCATGGATCATTAAATCAGACCTGCCTATATTTCCTATCCAAACTTTCACAATCATCATTTCTGTTTTGTTCACAGTAGTTCACAGTAGAACGTTGTGACAAAATTATCACTCAGAAGCACAGTTTCAAAGAGAAGATATACGAGGTTCCTATACCGTAAACAAGGTAAGTTCTTACTCACAGAGAACATCCAGTACATGTCCGTGACTCCAGTCAGACTCCAACCCCTCCTCCACAGTCTGGCAGCTGTACATGTCTCCCTGGTTCTCTCTGCTGATGTGGGTTATTGTCAGGTCATCTCCACCTGTAGGGGACACATCACCAGATTCTACCCGGGTCCTGTCCCTCCTCCAGATATAGGTCATGGTCAGTGGGGGATGGTCCGGGGGTAGACCCCGGGAGAAGGAGGAGCATGTCAGGGTGACATTCTCACCTGATAGAGGTGAGGCAGGTCCGGTGATGGTAGGTGTGGTAGGCTTCTCTGTGAACACATATAACAAATGTGCTGAGACCTTAACACGAGTGCCATTGAACAAGATTTAGCTGAAAGCTCTCATACTTGTATTTATATACTATTCATCATTATTATCTATCAAATGTTAAATAGTTAGTGCGTTCACTCGCCACGTGGAAGATCCGGGTTCGATTCCCCACATGGGAACAATGAGTGAAGCCCATTTCTGATGTCACCTGTCATGATATTGCTGGGATATTGCTAAAAAAACCTCACTCATTCACTCAGTGTTCCACTGTCAGTGTTCCACAGTTACAGCAGGGAATCCATGTTGGCTGGATCCTAATACTCCTTACCTTTTTGTTGATTAAATATGAAAGTTATCACACAACTACTGGCTGCCTCTACTGAAACGAGTTAAATGTATTTTCCGGAGAGAAGAGGGTCGACGGTTTCACTACCAGGTGCGTTATAGCAAGTGGCGTTCAAAGATGCAAGACTGATCGACTCTGATGCACTCATCCATCTTAAACTGCGACACTGCTTCTTTGACGGTGAACAAGCATAGTTCATATACACACATGCATACAACACACATACATGCACACAACGAACACACATGCATACAACGCACACATATGCATACAACACACACACATGCATACAACACACACACACATACAACACACATACATACACACATGCATACAACGAACACACATGAATACAACACACACATGCATACAACACACACATATACATACAACACACACACACATGCATACAACACCCACACATACAACACACACATACATACACACATGCATACAACGCACACACATGCATACAACACACACATGCATACAAGACACACATGCATACAACACACACACATACATACAACATACACACACATACACACACACATACACACATGAACACACACAAACACGAACACATGCTTGGACACTCACACATACCTGGATCCATATATACAATAACCTAAACCCCAATTTCACCTCACCTAAAGTTCTTCTAGTGCAATAGAAGATTGAACAGCTATTTATTTATGGTGGAGATACATTAAAACAGTCCAACTTTATTCTTCAAATAATATTCTGTTAATCCCATATCCTACTTACGTGCTACAACGAGGACCTGTCTACATCCAGTAACATTCTGTCCATTCTGCCCTTGACAGTTGTAAGTACCAGCGTCCTGTACAGTAACACTGTCGATGGTAAACCTCAGCTGTCCTGTCTGTGATAGTGAGCCCTCCCCGTTGTATCTGATCCTGGTCGTGTAGCCGGTGGGACTGGTGTTGAGTACCCATACACGTTGTGACTTAGGCTGGACCAGTAACAGTCTCACAGCTACCGAACCATTCACCCATACGCCGTGTGGGAAGCTGACATTCGCTGGGTTCATGGTTATGTTTACATCGTCGCCAACACGTGCAACAGTGTGTGGGTATCCAGTTGTTATGGAGGCAAGACCTGCACTCAAAACAAGTATTCGTCGTTAAAACAAGGTTAATATTTGACAGAATTATTCAAGCACATTATTGAAGTCAGCTCAATATAGTACTAGTTGACAGATACATACCACACACATATAAGCCCCCAAACAAAGAGACAAGATCATGTAAGGAGGAAAGAACTTTTATGAACATGCGTTATAGAATTTTCTATGTGTTCAGTTGTCAAACTGACACAATTTTGCATTTTTAATGTAAACCTTTCGGAAAATGTAAATTACATTCTTTTTAGGGGAGTCCATAAAGTGATATCGATTGAACCGATCGGTTGTATTCTTAATATATTTTCCTTTATTGTTTGTCACATTGTTGTAATGTATCTACTTAATTGGTATTATGATTGTTTACAATGTATAAAATGTTTATATCCCATGCACAGTACTTCATATACTTACATATCACACACACATTACTAACATATGATCTACACTACGCTGAACATACTAACATATCATATACTAACATGTGGTCTACACTACGCTGAACATACTAACATATCATATACTAACACGTGGTCTACAGTAAGCTGAACATACTAACATATCATATATAGAGAATACTACACAAGGTCTCGTTACATACGAATTATACGAAACGAGTTTCCTTCCTATGGTATCTGACCGAGCGAAAGCGAGGTCAGAAACCATACGAAGGTCACGAGTTTCGTATAATTCGTATGTAATGAGACCGAGTTTGGTATTTTATTTATTACCCACGTCTTACATGCATTAAATTGACAAAATAGTGTTTTTTTGTTATTGTAATGGTTTCAAACCGACACCGGTTTCATAAAGAGGTTGCGGAAGAGTTTTGTACTGTCGTACTATATTTGCATGACGTCACACTGTAATGACGTCACTGCCTTGGTAACCGACGTCACGATGCATGTCAGTTGTCGCCTCGTACAGCTTCCTACATCAAACTACTCCATAGCACCCCGTCCCTTAGTTTGCAGTTGGTTCATTCGGCTAACATCACTGGTGGAAACATTGCGTTTATGTTTTTCAACGCATATAATGCCTCAGTTCGACTCACAATTAAACAGCGACACGGCAAACTTTCGCAATGTTTACATTCCCACAATGCATTTAAGTTGTAGAATGAATGAATTCACGTGTTTGTTATGAATGAAAAAATAGTTACGTCACAGCGTGACCTAATTGAGAGGTCATCGGTTATCCAATCAAATCGTTAGAATCTCAGGTCAAGTCGTTACGACACAGGTCAACACGATACGACACTCGTGTGACGTACGGGATTAGTATGCGCCTACCCATACGTTGACCACGTGGGTAATAAACTAACATATGGTCTACACTACGCTGAACATACTAACATAACATATACTAACATGTTGTCTCAGATGAGGTAAGTGTGTTTGTTCAGAATTGCCGAAACTGGTACAGCAGAAACTGGTTACCCGGTGAGATAAGTCATGTGACTATTAAACTTCTAGCGCCTTACAGGCAGCTTGGGTTATCCAGGGTAATAATAATCAGATTGTGATTCAGCGTCCAGCGAGCAACTAGACAGATTGATACTAGGCGCTATAAACCTGGCGTGATAAGTTCATACTGACCTGCACGCAAACAAATACCAGTCATCATTACTTATGATTACTGAGAGAATATCCAGTATTACTTAAGAAAACAGTCACAAGGATGGCTATATAAAATGTCAATTCGAAGACAGATACATACCACACACATGAAGTAATCCGGTCACAGTGTAAAACAGAAACATAGTCAGCAGCTGGTTAACACTGACGGATCTGAGCTGTTGATGTTAATGTAGTTTCACTTGACACTATTTCCCTGTCACATGAACCATGTCCTTGCTTGTTGAAACAGTTGTGAATACGCCGTGTTGTTGCATTGAGCAGTTGAATATTGAATACTATGTTGTCATGAGTTTACTTGTCATTGCTGGGTCTGTCTACTCTGTGAATCATGTCCCTGCTTGTTGAAACACTAGTGTCGTTATCATTGGGCAGTCGAATATTGAATACTGTGTTGTCATGCGTGCTGGGTCTGTCTGCTCTGTGGTAGCCAAGTGGTTAAAGCGTCCGCTCGTCACGCCGAAGACCCGGGTTCGATTCCCTCCATGGGTACAATGTGTGAAGACAATTTCTGGTATCCCCCGCCATGATATTGCTGACATCTGGCGAAAGGCGACGTAAAAAGATATTCACTCACTCACCCACACCATGTTTTCTTTCTTTAACGTCGCCCTTTGCAGTATTCCAGCCATTCCAGTCTGTAAATGACCAGACAATCATGTGATCAACATCATCAGCATCGATCTTCGCAATTTGGATACGATGATATGTGCCAACCGATCCCGTTAGTTGCCTCTTACGACAAGCATGGGTTGCTGAAGATCAATTCTAACCCTGGCCTCAAAAGAAACTAAACGAGTGTTTGTCAGACTCCATTTCACTCACAACGAGTACAGTAATCTGTTTCTTACACACCCTAAAATTCCACCACTTTGGGATTAAATCGATGCATATTTCGTCCTTTCTCATTGTATTGGCGCATTGATACATAACCCAACGTTATGAATGAGTGACGTAACTGGACTTACTACTCACTACACATGCTATGTGTAACCCTCCACACAAAAAAACGTTTTTG